TTGCCCTCCTGAAATGTAAACCCTTAACATGTGTCTCTGTTAAACACATACAAGACTAAAAATACAATGTAACAGTGTAAAAGGCAATCAGAGTATAAGACTATATGTTTTAAATGATTATATGATCATTTGACAGGACATTTCCCTCCCACAGCATCAGTCCTGTAACAAGGTGTGTTTTCTAATTGCTCCCCAGGTGAATGTGATCCTGAAGTTCACTCACCTTCCTCCGTTCCCAGAGTACTCGTTGGATCTTTGTAGTTTTCCTCGGGGGAACGGGGCCATGAGGCCGGTCTCCATGGAGGGTTTAGTCATCGCCATAACGAGAGTCACCAAATACACCCAGGGCGCTCGGTTCCTCTGCAGCGATGAGGAGTGCCCTTGCTCTGCAGGTATTAGCCGGCATGCTAACAACATCATAAAGGTTGCAATCTTTAAATTCAAGCTCAGACAATTAGCATTCATAGACACAAGACAACATAAAACATAAAGTTTGCAATCTGGAAATCCCCCTTTGGCAGGTCAAATATGGCAAGATGTTGTGTTTTTTTTAAGCTCAGACAAGTAGCATTTATAGACAATAAGAGTTTGTTTCCTGGACTTTAGGGTTTCACCACATCCGAGTTCATGCACCCGGAGCCACAGAATCGGCCACGGTGAGAAACGACTTCATCTGCAGGATCTGTGGCTCGGCTCTGAAAGAAGACGTGAAGTTCAGAGTGCTGGGAGGTGAGATCTGGAGGAGAAATATAATCAGAGGAGGTGGGAAGTAGTGGAGTACAAATACTTTGTTACTGTACTTAAGTACATGTTTCTGGTATCAGTTCTTTACTCCACTACTTATTTTTCTGATGACTTTTTACTTTGACTTCTTACATTTTGAACACAAATACCTGTACTTTCTACTTCTTACATGTTGAACACAAATACCTGTACTTTCTACTTCTTACATATTGAACACAAATACCTGTACTTTCTACTTCTTACATGTTGAACCCAAATACCTGTACTTTCTACTTCTTACATGTTGAACTCAAATACCTGTACTTTCTACTTCTCACATTTTCCAAACAGGCTGGTTCCCTGAGACTGCCAAGGCACACGGTGGCGTGATCATTATTATTTAGAGTCATTGCGTGCCTATTGATTTGAACACGATCCGTGTATCCATCATTTCCTGGTCTTCTCTAAAGAAGAGGGACCAATGGAAACGTTGTCATGTTGCCGTTGTTCAGCATGGAAACATTCATTAGCTAACAATGACATTATTGTTCTATTAATATAAAGGGAGGTCAGGTACTCTTTAAAACAGCTGCTAGTTATGGGTACTTTTTACTGAAGTACATCTCAAAGTTCTTTACTTTGACTTGAGTAAAGAAGTTTAGTCAGTACTTCTACTTTCACCAGAGTATTTTTAAACACGAGTATCTGTACTTCTGCTTGAGGAAAGGATGTGTGTACTTCTGCCATCTCTGAATATAAGCACAGGAGGTTAAAAGAAAACTGTGATTATGAATGTTTGTAAATATGTTTTTCAGACAAACAGCTGGTGGAGATGATCCACGTCAGAGCTCTGGATCTTCTGAGTGCTCATCAGCAGAGCTCGCTCAGGTACCAGTGCGTCACCCTGTTCCTCAGAGGTACGTCTACATCATAATTCATCCATCTATAATTCAAAATGTGTCTCCTGTTACAATGTCCCCCAGCACATAAACTGACGGATTGTTGTAGCCACATTTGATGTTAGAGGAAATAAAGCTAATCGCCTATTTCCATCTGAGAGAGGGTATAGTATCTTTAGGATCAAGTGGTATGTTAAGAAACATGTATAATAGCCACGGTCAGATTACTTTAAAATGTACTTTATACTAAAATAAATGAATGCTGCCTTAAAGATTTGAGTTCCAGCAATAATATTGCTTCTCCAAACTAATGAAATGCAAATAAAATGCACAAAAACATCATCCCACACACGGTACAACTACAAGTGATGTCTGTAGTCTTTTAGAGTTGTAAATTCTACAGTTTTGAGACATTTCAATATTTATATATATTGCTTTTTTATGGCTGCATCCATAAGGGCATACGGCGATCGATGTGCATGAAAAAGCATTGAATAAATGAACTGTATGAAATGGTTCATCTGAAAGGAGATACTGTACTCTGGATTAACATACTCAACATTGAAGGGGTATTACGTGTTTGTAAAATCACATTCTCCTCCATTACAGCGACTCCTGAGTAATGTGGTTGTAATAACTTCTGTTTACACACAGTCAGATGTCTCGAGCTTTGTCATTAATTCTCCCGGCTTCCTAAATGAGGCTCACTTAGTGGGGGAGAGTTCAAATACATCAATTCCTTTGCTCAGTGAGGCTCATGCAGGGTATTAAGTGTTTCTGTCCCCTCTAATAACATTGTCAGACCAGCACCTCTGGGACTTTAGCAAATCTCAGCAGCAGGATTAACATATTGTGTTGACGCAGTCCTGCAGAGGAACTCAATACAGCGAGCTCTTGCTACTAAACATATATGGTAATAAGTGAAGGGAGCCCTCATTAGCTCGAACACAGAGACATCTTTGTTCTGAACGCAGAGCTCCGTGTTTCTCTTGGCTCCGGTTCGTAGATAGCATGCATGTTCCTTCAGAAAACACCAGAGAGGCAAGAGTACACACATCCTTTCCTCAAGTAGAAGTTCAGATACTTGTGTTTAAAAATACTCTGGTGAAAGTAGAAGTACTGACTAAACTTCTTTACTCAAGTCAAAGTAAAGAACTTTGAAATGTACTTCAGTAAAAAGTACCCATAACTAGCAGCTGTTTTAAAGAGTACCTGACCTCCCTTTATATTAATAGAACAATAATGTCATTGTTAGCTAATGAATGTTTCCATGCTGAACAACGGCAACATGACAACGTTTCCATTGGTCCCTCTTCTTTAGAGAAGACCAGGAAATGATGGATACACGGATCGTGTTCAAATCAATAGGCACGCAATGACTCTAAATAATAATGATCACGCCACCAAACACACATTCAAACTAAAGGAACCAGCCTGTTTGGAAAATGAGAGAAGTAGAAAGTACAGGTATTTGTGTTCAACATGTAAGAAGTAGAAAGTACAGGTATTTGTGTTCAACATGTAAGAAGTAGAAAGTACAGGTATTTGTGTTCAACATGTAAGAAGTAGAAAGTACAGGTATTTGGGTTCAACATGTAAAAAGTCATCAGAAAAATAAGTAGTGGAGTAAAGTACTGATACCAGAAAAATGTACTCAAGTACACTAACGAAGTATTTGTACTCCGTGTGATGTGCAGTTTGAGTCCCAGAGGCTGG